AGCGCATGCACCCTATAGCAAAAACCTCTCCAAAAAAAAAAAAACTGATGAGAGAAAGTGTGAGAAAGAAAGGGAGAAAGCAAACTGCCAGGCCCAGGAATTGAACCATAGTCGATACATGGGAGCCAGCACCTTAACGACTACGCTACTTGCTGGCCTCAGGACTATTCCTCATTAACTCATGAAAGAAACTAAATAGTTTTGAATTATGGGCGCAAGTAATGTTTTAAGTTTTCCAAAATAATGTTATGTTTTTGAAGTTAACTTCTAACTACAGATTTTTTCTTTAAATTACTATAGGGTACATGCGCTCATGAGAGTGAGAGAGAGAGAAAGAGAAAAACAGAAAGAGAAAGAAAGTGAGAAAGCAAGTCACCAGGTCCAGTACTTGAACTGTGGTCAGCTCATGTGAGTGCAGAGCTTGAGCCACTATGCCACCTGCTGGCCCCTGTATTTATTTTTAAATGCCAGAGGACACTTATGGTAACCAAAAACTGACAGAAGACAGAGATAAAGAAAGAAGGGGAGAGGGAGCAGCAGCAGCAGTCCAGTCATCACTGGACTCCCATGTAGTCGATCGGAGTTCAAGACCCTGACCCGGTAGCTTAAAACTCACGTGAGATGCACGCGCGCGCGCGCGTGTGTGTGTGCGTGCGTGTACGGCCAAAATCCTGAGAGAAGGGATTGCAGTGTGTCCCTCTCCTCTGGGGTGGGGGGTGATTTCTTGCTTTCTGTCTTGCACAGTTGTCTTTTGCGAGCACACATCCCCTTCAGCAAAAATCTCTCTTTAAAAAACAAAAGAGAGAGAGAGAGGGAAAAAGCTTCCCAATGGGTAACTGTCATACTACAATCTTTTCCATCCATTTCTCTATTTCATTGGGATTTGGGGCATGTGTGAATGCATATGCACACACATCTGGTGTATCTCTCAGGTAGCCTAGGCCAGGATTTGAGCCACGGTGGGATCTAGCTCCACTAACCACTAAGCCCATAGGGCTTGCCCAAACCTATGAATTTTCTTTTTTCTTCTTAAAGAATTATTTTATTATTATTATAATTAACTTTGATCAGAAAGAAATGGGGGTGTGGGGGGCAGAAAGCAATCCTCCAGATCCAGGATTCAAACCATAGTCAGTCATGTGGGAGTCCTGCACCTTAACCATCATGCCACCTGCTGGCTTCCAAACTATTAATTTTCTTTTCTTTTCTTTTAAAGAATTATTTTATTGGGGCTGGCTGGTCAAATTAAAATAAAGATAAATAAAATAATTCTTTAAAAAATGACTTCATTGAACTTCAATTAATTAATTAAAATGTGACCAGAGCGGGACAGAGAGAGAGAGACAAAGTGAGAAAGCAAGCCACCAGGTCCAGGACTCAAACCTTGGTCAGCCATGTGGGAGTCCAGTGCCCTCAACCACCACACCACCTGCCAACCCCAAACTATGAATTTTCTAAGCAGCACAGAAAGTGTACTGTTGTATGGCCAGAGCTGAATTTATTTTCCTTAAATCTCAAACATATGATTAATGTAACTTAACATTTCCTACACAGATGAGAGCTTGAGTTCTGAAAGCTCTTCAGGTTCATGTATGTACTAAATGGCTGGCTAAATATTCTCCAGTGTCGCAAAAAGGAAGGGGCTGGTAGGTGGTGTGGTGGTTGGAGGTGCGGGACTCTCCCATGGCCAGCCGAGATTTGAGTCCTGGACCTGGCGGCTTGCTTCGCACTTTCCCTTTTTCTCTCGCTCTGGCCTGCCCTGGTTAAATTAAAAAATAAAAATAAAATGAATACAAATGAAGTTAAACGGGCTAATTCTTAAAAAGAAAAAAGAAAAGAACAAGGAATAAATCTATAAATTATCCAAAGTTGAGGGCTGATAAATCATAAAAGATCAAAGAATTTCATAACTAGGAAGACTGTTAGAGATTATTTCATTTAATCACCTCATTTAAGAGATTAAAAAGATCAAGGAACATGCTTAAGTGACTTGTTCATCCACAAAATGAATCAGCAGAACCCAATCTGTGAGGCTTTTGCCTCCTGGCTCAGTGTTCCCTCCACCACACTGTGGTGTTCTGCTTACTATACTAATTTAAATCCTGCCTTCTGCTTTCATCTAAGTAATTTACATAGAGAAACGGTTATTCTCAGGCAACAAAATGAGGTAGAAAAACAGTGAACGTGCAAAATATCCCTTACTGATAGGCATCTCACGTCACATTTGCACTTACTATTAGTCATGAGATTGTGATCAACGGAGTATAGTTTAATATACGATATTCTAATTCAGACGCCTGGGTACTGAAAAACTGCACCCTACATGTGAGGAAATCACACAAACTCTAGAGTCACGGTTTGT